TCTCCCTTTACCTTAAATCGGACCGGAAGGGAGAACCAGCACAGACTCCAGGCTGTCGGCAAACGTGCACTCACGTGCACAGTGGGGGAGGCGGGACGTCCACACGGGGGTCCCGGGCTCGCGGCCGTAGCAGGTGACGGTGGCGCCGCCCTGCAGGACGAAGCCGGGGTTGCAGCTGTACTGGATGGTGGTGCCCACCAGCAGCTTGGGGTCGGACAGGGACCTGGTGGAGTGCTCCACGTGGCCCGGATCAGAGCAGTACATGACTGGGGAGGAGGGGAACAAATGCTAAACATTCTAAGGGTGGAACACAGAGCAAATATTGTCACCATCAGCTATTAAAAATGACTCTCCCAAGTTCACAATCCCTTTAGAAGTCCTCACTATATTTCATTTAAACGCGCTGGGGTGCATTTAGCTCCTCACAATAACTTCTAGACGGTATCTTCTCACTATTTAAAAGTGAATTTCCCAAATGCCTGAAAGAGTCTTTTGTTCGTACGTTCAGAGCTCTTAGACCAACAGAGACGGACTAAACGTCTTCAGCCTGTAACGCAGACGGGTTTCACTCCTGTACCCCTCCAGTCCTTCGTGAGGACTTCAAATTCAACGCTCTGGAAATCCTTTCTGTGCCTGCAGACGTCTGAGAACGTGCAGCACGTGCACCGGCCATGCATGAGAACAGGAAGTTCAAACACGCCTCGAGACAAAGGGGACTGACTCTTCTCGCAGAAGGGCGGCTGGGAGCTCCAGGAGAGCTCCAGCTCACAGGTGAGGGTCTCCCGGCCCACCAGGTCGTATCCGGGGTCGCACTGGTAGGTGATCTGAGCGCCGCGCACCAGGGCGATGTGGGACGTGGTCTTCCAGCCGTTCTGGATCTCCGGCAGGTCCGGACAAGAGTCGTTCCGGGAGACCTCTAAGAAAGGAAAGAGCTGCAGCTTCATCCTGACTCGACTTTCACACCCATCTCACTGTCGCCGTCCCAAAGAGATCTATATCACATGACTTGGGTCACGTGATGAGGATGCACGCTACTGAGCGGCTCTCCTGTTTCTATACGATGAGCATTTAGCAGCTAGAGAGGTCTTTCCTTCTTCACCGAGCGGAGCCTGAACGCATCACGATGTATCTGTCTGTGGGCTTTCTTTTCATGTCATTTTTGGACTTAAAAAGAAAACTTTTATTTTATTATCGTTTTACTTTTCCCTCCATAAAATAACATTATTTTAACCTAACATCCACCCCGCCCCCTCTCCCCCCTCTCACCCAGGTAGTTGATGATGAAGCCCTCCCCCTTCCCAAAGACGAGTCCGGCCGGGTCGGAGTGGAAGGTGACGGTGAGGTCGGGGGTGGTGGAGGAGAGCTTGAAGGGGCCGGCCCCGCCCACGTAGCGGCCCAGGATGCGGGCGGTGACCTCGTCGCCGTCGGTGACGGTCAACATGTCGCTGTCGCTGATGTTCAGCCTGGTGGAGACGGACAGTCAGTAACATCGGGGAGCCGGAGTTTGTTTGGTGATGTGATGCCGGTTTGATTCTCACAGCTGGACGTCCAGCAGCACCCGCTTGTCCTCCCCCACGTGAATGGTCCAGCTGCAGTCCTCCCCCTCCCCGTACCACTCGGGCCAGTTGGGAGACAGAATCACACCCCCGGGACCGCCGAGGTCGCCGCCGCACTGTGCTGCTCAGGGCGAGAGAGACAAGTTAAAGATGAAGACAAGTAGATGTTCAAAGAATGAAGAGAAGACTTCACGTTACCTTTGCACAGCGGCTCCGTGTCGTTCCAGTACGGATCTCTGGCGCTGACGCACTCGATGACGGGGGGGCCCTGCTCCAGCGCGTGACCCGGGTCACAGGAGAACTGGATCACGGCCCCGACGCCGTACAGCGGGTCGGAGGTGGTGAAGTTCCCGTTCTGGAGGTACGGCTCGTAGCAGTGGCCTCGCTCGAAGGCTGCGAGGAAAAGGAAGTACATGAAGATGATGTGATGTGAACAGCGGTTCTCTGGGTTCTTCTTGTCCTCGCTGAGGGGACGTTGGTTCTGCTGGTTCTCTGGGTTCTTCTTGTCCTCCCTGAGGGGACGTTGGTTCTGCTGGTTCTCTGGGTTCTTCTTGTCCTCGCTGAGGGGACGTTGGTTCTGCTGGTTCTCTGGGTTCTTCTTGTACTCGCTGAGGGGACGTTGGTTCTGCTGGTTCTCTGGGTTCTTCTTGTCCTCCCTGAGGGGACGTTGGTTCTGCTGGTTCTCTGGGTTCTTCTTGTACTCGCTGAGGGGACGTTGGTTCTGCTGGTTCTCTGGGTCCTTCTTGTCCTCGCTGAGGGGACGTTGGTTCTGCTGGTTCTCTGGGTTCTTCTTGTCCTCCCTGAGGGGACGTTGGTTCTGCTGGTTCTCTGGGTTCTTCTTGTCCTCGCTGAGGGGACGTTGGTTCTGGATAACTAAACCCTGATGGGAGGAGGTTCCTTCGTACCTTCGTAGCGGATGTTGAAGCCCGTGTTGTGGTCGGGCCGGTCGGAGATGAACTGGATCCTCACCGCCGGGCCTTCGCTGATCACCCCCTCGAACGGGATGTGGCCCCCCCGACCCGAGTCGAACAGCACCACGGAGCCGGCGTCCAGCCCGCTCCACAGCACCAGCCTGGGGGGGAGGGGGGGACGCTGTGAACCCGGTTCTACACGGTTCTCTTCTACCCCCCTACGTTCATCTCACAACTTACTTTACTAATTGTTTTCTCCACACAAATAGTTCGTGATTTAATTTAGTTTTAAACTAAATTCCCAAAAGATATTTTAATAATGATAATAAATATTTATATTTATATTTAAAATATATGTATGAATCAATTTTATAATGTATTAATGATAATAATGTGACAACAAAAATATATAATAATACAATTATTTGAAAAATAGGATAACTTAAAGAATAATTCAGATATAAAAGAACGTAACCCCCTCCCACCTCTCGCTGAGCCCCAGGGCCAGCCTCTCCAGGTGCAGGTGCAGCCTCTGGTCCTTGGGGGCCTCCAGGGACCAGGAGCAGGAGCGGTCCTGGGTGGCGTTGGGCCCGTGGGGGGGCGAAGGTGACAGAACTCTCCCCACTGTGGCGTTCTTCACTGTGCCTCCACAAAGAGCTGCAGAGAAGGTTATTTATTTACACTCATGTCTCAAAGCACTTTGCTGCAGGAAGAAGGAGGTTTTTATTCATACAAATAGAAACAACTGAACTGAATTTGTACTTTTAAACAGCAGCTTTCCTTTTATTTGCGAATTAATGAAAAGCTTCATGAGTTAAAGCTGCATTCTCTGTAGTGACCAGCAGGGGGCGACTCCTCTGCTCCCATAGACGTCTATGAGGAAATGACTCTACTTCTCTGTAGTGACCAGCAGGGGGCGACTCCTCTGCTCCCATAGACGTCTATGAGGAAATGACTCCACTTCTCTTTTGATTTATTCCCTCAGTAAACATTGTAAACATGAGTTTATGTCTCAGTCTCTAGTTTCAAGTCTTCTTCAACACAACATGATGTTCATTTAGTGAATGATGGTCCATTTAGAGTCACACAGACCATAAAAGAGTCCAAATAACAGTCTAAAACCTGCTCTGCGGCTCCACTCACCTCTGCAGGCCGGCACCTTGCCGCTCCACACCGGCAGCGAGGCGTTGAGGCAGGTGAGCCGCGGCTCGCCCTGCAGGTGGTAGCCCATGTGGCAGTGGAAGCGGGCGGTGCCTCCAGGCAGCAGGTCCAGCACCGACACCTCCCCGAAGTGAGGCCTCTTCGGAAGAGAACAGCTCAGCCTGAAGACTGTTTCACGGGAACAAGTTAATGAGTTAAAGATCACATAGATCAACTATGACCTTGGTCCGTAATTCTCCATCTCCATTAGCATAGCATGACGCTAGCCTTTTATACGTGTCTGATCAGAGGATGAGGAACTAAACGCTCTTCTGTTGCTCTCGTAAATGATATGTTCAGCTGTATTTTGGTTTTTCATTGACTGCATCGCGGGTTTTGATTTAGAGGCAGACAGATAAAGTGTCGTTACCAGGAACTAGTAGATACAAAGCAGCCAATCAGAGTCAAACATTTTTTGAGCCAATCAGAATCGGGCATTGACCAAGGCCACAATATGCATCCAATTCTTTGTTTTTATATCTGAGATCCTCGTTTAGTCATTCAGCATCATATTCACTCTCACTAAATATACAGATCTGTTACGGAGCCGCTGGCAGAACAACTCGTAGAAACACAAACTATGACGAGAATATGAGGCCATGTTTTGGTTTCTAATTTACTTGGAGGGTCACTTGAGAAATCAAACCCCCCGAGGTTTGATTCTTAATTGAGTTTTTGTAATTAAATAATCCCTGTAAGCCGCGGGGTGGAATGTTCCTCTATTTATGCCGCTTGTATTCCCTCAACGCCGCGTCCAGACGGCGTCCTGCTGAGCGCCGATATCTGTGATCAACGGCTCAGGTGTCTTTAAGAGCTGAGACGTGAACATTGGCGTCTCGCTCACTCTGGTAGTGCAGCTGGAAGACGCCCGTGCTGGCCTCCGGCGCCGAGCGGTAGTAGACGGACAGGGTGTTGGTGGGGCTGCGGATCACCTGACCCTCCACCAGCAGCGTGTGATTGGCCAGGACCAGCAGGGCGCCGCGCTGGTCGGCGCTCCGGATGGACAGCTGCTCGCCGTCCGAGAGGTTCACGCTCTTCACCTGCAGGAACAGCCGGCGATAAAATCAGGCTTTGTCCTCGTGAAGAACAGAAGAACCTGATGGACTTTAACCTGAAGTCTTCACTTTTGTGCCGAAGTGATTTAAGAAGCTCTGAACTTAATCAAACACTCTGTGAGTATCGATGGTCTTTCATGCTTTTATTGTGTAGAATGTCGCTTTACTAATAGATGTGATTTAGTTTATTAGATGATTAAACTGATTAAAAGATGAATAAGAGAAGGAACCTGGAAGCTTAGATCAGATGTTAGCGTAGATGTTCGTGTCGAGAGTTTCACAATAAACTCACAATTAGACTGATTCGATATTTGCTGGAATAGTTGCTACTGAAGTCAAGTTCTTAACTTTTTAAGGGTGATGGACACAGATCAATATCGCCAATCAATATGTTCAATCAATGAGTGAAGCCCCCTCAGTGTATAATCTATGATATAATCAAGTCTGCATGACTTCCAACCGTATTTTAGGAGTTTTTTACTCATTTTCTGTTGATAATAATTCTGATAAATGAATTGACTCTTTTAGTAGAAACCTTCGTCTATACAAACAAGATAAAACCCACATTTTGAGGGCGACTTCATCAAATGTTCACACTTAACCTTCTCAATACTCGTCATTCAATGAATAATCTTCTTATCGTGACCTGACGTGACCTGATGTTGGAGGCCTGAAGGAGCAGAAATAAACAGAAGAAGCCAACAGTAGCAGAACACCTTCATTCCTGCAGGAACACGTGACACGTGTGTGTGTGTGTGTGTGTGTGTGTGTGTGTGTGTGTGTGGGAGATCAGGGTGTCGGTCTTCATACATGTAACGCTTTACATCCTGTATTTCCCTTGGACGCCACATCCAGATGAAAACGCTTCATACAGTTTACAGAGAATGTCGGTCAGGTGACGAGCGATGACACGGGCGCCATGTGAGACACGTCCACCTTCATTCTGACTGTAACCGCAGACAGAAGGCACTTTAATCCAGAGCTATTTGTGTGATTTGAGATTATGAACGAATGGTGATGTATAAATGCTGCAGTGATCCGCATCCAGCTGCAGACACACATCTGTATAACCAAGAGAGAATCAAATGTAAAACAGACATCACATGAATAAAAGAGTTTCAGGACGGTTCAGTCGAGCAGAATCGACCTGAATAGTTTATTTCTTTACTGTCGGCTTCACTTTACTGCTCCAAATATCTGCAGCTCCTTTGAATCAACACTGAAGACTTTTAACTAAACGGTTTATGAATATACACAGAATCAATATTTTGGAACATAGATATATACATTATATATTCAACATATGAACATATTTATAGATTACGTAAAAATACATATTTAAAATGTGTTTTTTAAATATACTCATTTATCTATCCTATTTATTTATTTTAAAACTTAAATTTATATACAGTGTTTATAGTCATTACAATTATCCCAAATATTTACAAATTCACTTTTTCACATTTTGATTGTCGTTCTTCCTGCAGAACCTTTTTTATACTTTAATCGTTTTTTGCTCCCAAGCACCAACTTTCCTCCAGAAGGTCACCTGCCCCCTGGGGGCGGAGTCACAGATAAAGCCACCTGATGGCCGGCAGGTGGTCCAGTGTGTGTGTGTGTGTGTGTTTCTGCGGAGTGTACCTGCAGCTCCACCCCGTAGCCGGTGTACACCGTCACGGTGTAGGTGCAGTGCACCACGGCGCCGTCGGGCAGCGGGGGGGCATCGGACGAGTCTATGTAGCCCTCCGGGTCCGAGAAGTTCACCATGCAGCTGGACAAATCTGCAGGAGGGGGGGCATTAATGAGGGGCATCACAGGGGCCACAGCGGCTACCCAGCATGCACTGGGCCGGTACCGAGGAATAAACCAACATAACCAATCACCGGCATCACAAAGTTACTCCCCTGCAGGCAGGTCATTGAATGCATCGTCTGTAAACCGATGAGTCGGTATCTAGTATTTACCCCAGTGGTGCCCAACCACCGGGGCGCGGACCGCTACCGGTACGCTTACCCCCCAAGTACCTGAGGACGGAGTCTCCGTGTCCTCCGTCTCCTCAATGTCGTCCGCGTCCTCCTGGTCAGGCTGGGGGTGCGTCTGCGCGGGTGGGGGCTCGGTTGGAGCGTCGCCTCCGCCCGGCACCGCGGTGCCCCCCACCCCCGGCAAACCCTCGCCCCGGCGCTCCGGAGAACGACCTCCGGGGGGAGTGGCGACACTGAGCCCCCGCCCCAGGAGAGGGAGCAGGTGCTGGGGCAGAACGGAGGGGAGGACCTCCCCCCCCTGGGGGACGGGACGTCCCTTCTGGGTCAGGACGGACGGCAGCGGACCTCCAGCCAAGGAGCCGGGGCTTCTGGCTGTGGGGGTCCCGTAGGTGGGAGGGGAGGCCGCCGGGAGTTCTTCATCTGGGGAAGAAACACAGAGGGGGGGAGGGGGCATTTGGACAGGTAAGACCAAAAAGAAAAGTATATAATAAATATATATATATATTCATATATATATAATACATATATATATATATGTATATATATATATTCACAAAGGCCCCTGCAGCACACACACACACAGACACACACACACACACACACTTGTGATGCTGTGGTGGAGAGACAGGGCAGTTAAGCATGACAGGAGTTGAGCAAAGAGGACGGGGGGGGGCTCTGCTGTGCACGCTAAACTGCAGCAGCTTAGTTCAAAAACAGCACACATCAGTATTCACACACACAGTCACACACACAGACACACAAACTGAACGTCACCAGTTTCTCTTCAATTTCCTCCTGAGTTGTCATCCACGCAGCCACACATGAGCGGCGAGCGTCTCCGTGGTGTTTAATGATGAGATAAACACTGTTTTTATATCTTTTCCTTTTTTTGGATTACCTCTCAAAGTGTCAGACCATCGAGGAACTCGTTTCAGCTTTCACAGCCTGTAATCATTTAGGCAGCCACACACACACACACACACACACACACACACACACACACACACACACACACACACACACACACACACACATCTTCTGAAGACATTCAAAAAGTTTCAAATAATACAGACCTTCATGTGTTACAGCTGCATTCTCTGTAGTGACCAGCAGGGGGCGACTCCTCTGCTCCCATAGACGTCTATGAGGAAATGACTCTACTTCTCTGTAGTGACCAGCAGGGGGCGACTCCTCTGCTCCCATAGACGTCTATGAGGAAATGACTCTACTTCTCTGTAGTGACCAGCAGGGGGCGACTCCTCTGCTCCCATAGACGTCTATGAGGAAATGACTCTACTTCTCTGTAGTGACCAGCAGGGGGCGACTCCTCTGCTCCCATAGACGTCTATGAGGAAATGACTCTACTTCTCTGTAGTGACCAGCAGGGGGCGACTCCTCTGCTCCTATAGACGTCTATGAGGAAATGACTCTACTTCTCTGTAGTGACCAGCAGGGGACGACTCCTCTGCTCCCATAGACGTCTATGAGGAAATGACCCGACTTCTCTCCTGATTTATTCCCTCAGTAAACATTGTAAACACGAGTTTATGTCTCAGTCTCTAGTTTCAAGTCTTCTTCAACACAACATGATGTTCATTTAGTGACTGATGGTCCATGTAGAGTCACACAGACCATGAAGCAGAGGGTGACTCAGGGGCGGGGTTACCGTGTGATTGACAGGGTTGTTTTACGGTCTGTAGGGTTTGCGTCTGTTCATCTTCAGACTTTAACCCTCTCATAGTATGTTTACACTTCATGGCCATTAACTGGAACATTTTGGTCGCATAAACAATATATATTTATTACATATTTATTTATATTTTCAGCGTTGGGTTGTAATTATCTCCCCCCCTCCTCCCCCCTTCCCATCCCAGAACATGGCCAAGAAACTGCACTGGAGGCTTCAAAATGATGGTTCACAAACTCCGTCACGTCGACTCCGTCCTCTTCATATTGAGGCTTCGGCCTCTCACAGGATTTAATTAACTTCTCTCCCATTGAATTAGTTTGGCTTCATTCAGGCGACTCCACGCCGCTCCTGACGCGTTAACGTGACGCCTCTCGTTAACGCGCCCGGGATTCAGACGGCTGAGTCGTGTGTGTGTGTCTGTGTGTGTGTGTGTGTGTGCGTCTCCTGGGGGAGAGGACATGGCGGACTAGGAATGTCTTCCAGTTGGTTGCTGCCGGTCTGACGGAATACAAATGAAACGGAGCGACGAAGGAAACAAAGAATTCTCTGTGAGGAGGAAACACAGGAGCTCACGAGGAGCCGGTTGGCCTCGTTCCTCCTTTCAGAGCCGCTGAAACCTGTTGTTTTATTTCGACGTGATCAGTTACAGGACAAAAGGGACGTCACACTGAAACAAGAAACAAGCTCGATCTGTCTGAAGCTTCACATCGTCACATATTGATCCAGTGTGGATGTAGAAGTATTGATCATGGCAGCCTGAAAGGAGCCTCGACCGACGACCACGTGGCTTCACGCCAACGCTGAACAAAGAATCCGATTGCTGCAAATGCGTTTGCGCCGCACAAATCAGGAATCAGGAAACATTTATTGCCGAAATATGTCAGACATACAAGGAATGTGACTTGGCGACAACAGTGCACGAGGAATAAAGTAAAATTAAATGCTAATGCTATGGGTTAGTAGAATAAGGCTATGGGTTAGTTTAAAATAAAAGAATAAAAGTTAAAAAATATAAAAATAACTAGCGAACAGGAAGTGACAAAAGTGACGAGTGAAAAGTGGCATGTGCAGTGTGAGGGGGAGTGACCGGTGGAGTGTTATAGTCAGTCAGTGGGGGACCGGCTCTGTTGATGAGCCCGACTGCCAACGGGAAGAAACTGTTCGTGTGGTGGGAGGTCTTAGTCCTGATGGACCTCAGCCTCCTGCCAGATGGAAGGGGCACAAACAGTTTTTGTCCGGGGTGAGAGGGGTCGGCTACCATCTTTTTAGCTGCTTCAGAGACCTGGAAGCGAACAAGTCCTGCAGGGACGGCAGATTGCAGCCGATCAGCCTCTCTGCAGAGCGGAGGACACGCTGCAGCCTGTCCTTGTCCTTGGCTGTGGCTGCAGCGTACCAGACGCTGATGGAGGAGCAGAGGATGGACTCCATGATGGCCGTGTAGAAGTGGACCATCGTCGTCTTTGGCAGGTTGAGTTTCTTCAGCTGCCTCAGGAAGAACAACCTCTGCTGAGCTTCTTCAATCAAGGTCTTTCAGAATATTTTAATTGAAAAACTAAAATATTCTAAAACCGTAGAATTGACATGAAATCTTATTCGTATTTTTTATCCGACCAGTGAACAGGAAGTGACCATGTTTGGACTGAGGAGGACATATTCATCTCTGGTAGACCTGTCAATCATTGTGTAGCCCCGCACCGAAAGCGTCTCCTGCTTCATGGTCTGTTTGACTCTAAA